CCAGGTATGACTGTATAATATTCACTTTTTAAATAATTAACCCATGCTGATTCACCTAATTCAGTCCACCAGCAAAAGTAATCATTAAACTTATGATGTATTTGTGAAGTATCACGAAGCCGCATTATAGCATTAAGCTCATTCAAGACGGTTTTTTGCGAAGCTTGTTTTTTTGTTTTTTTCTAAGTTTCATTGCTATGGATACTAAAATAATTATTTTCACCCTTAATCTTACCTTTATTTTTTTGCCAAGCATTTTTTACATGCCATTGGCAAAGTAAGATTTTTGCATTAAAGAAGATCCTACTAATAGCAATTTGCTGTGCATCGTTACAGTCTGTAAGAAAGGTATGAGGCACCCAGTCTTCATTTTGATTTTTTATATTTAAAAGCCAATAAATTAACATTTCACTGGCTTTTTTTTTTGAGATTAGATGTGTTACAGGAACACCTTGCCCACCATTATCATCCCGACAATTATAGTGAAAAGATTCGTTTTGTGTGCTGTTGTTCCATGGGTTCTGTCTAAACATACAGTTTGGGTGCTTTTGTGCTTTAGTATTTGTTTTTGAAATTCAGTCTGGAACCCATATAGATAACCTAAATTCGAACTTCAAATAAGATTACAACAAGTATATAATCTATCCTCTTGAGATGAGGTGATCCATTCTTTGACAGATATGTCTTCATTATAACCTTCATCATTATTACCCAAAAAAACTACACCTTTCATTTCTTCACGGACTATATTATAGACATCAATATAGGATAGATATGCATCTCATCATTGAGTTAGAGGTAAGAAGTCTAGGCCATTATTATCACAAATTTTGTTAACCTGTTGATGAAACACTTATACAATTTGTGCCGGTTTCATTCCATCTCTTGACCTTTCTTTAATCCATTCTCTTGCTTGTTAAGACAAATGAATATTTCACAAATCTTCTTCAGTTCCAGGAGAATGTCCATTATGAAGTGTATAATGAACAATATAGACTAAATTTCCTTCTTCATCACGGCATTTTGATACTTTTAAATAGGATTTACATCCTACTTTCTTGGATGGCTTTAGAATTGGACGAGGATTATTACGACCTGATAAAGATGCTGTAGTTTGACTAATGACCTTAGTTGTAGTTCTAGGTTTTCCAGCGCAATGGTACAGATACAATTCATTTAACTCATACTCTTTATTCGCTTGTCTATTATGCTGAATATAATGGGCCCCAGAATATTAGCAAGAATGTTCTTGATTTATTCTTCATATATATTTAACTCAAGATGAGTATATATTTGAATATTATCATTTTGGTTTCATTTTCATTAACCTCATCAATAGTATCAATTATGTCAATTTGATTAGATTTGTTTGACATGATTTTTTAAGAAAAAAAAAAGCTTTTAGCATATATTATAAAAAGTTTGATTAAGGTAAAAATAAAAAATTTTTTTAATGTTAATTCGAAGGATATTACAATGTTATGATTGCCTTTTTATATTTTTTGAATATTTTAGCAAAGGAACTTTTACTTATTTTATTTTATTTTTTTTTATCTAGAAAATTTAATAATACAGTATTAGTTCATATTAAAAGTATTTTTTTAATTACATCTTTTCTTTACGAAATTGGCATTTAATTTCATTTTTTCTTCACGAATTTGGCATGCATTTATAGAAAATAGTTTTATTATATGCATTTAGAATCAAATCAGTTTATGTATTCTTAAAATATATCTATTAATGAAAATAGAATATAAAAATTATAGATAATAGCAAAATTATCGAATTGTAATATTCATGGCTTACAGCAAATTAATCGCAGCATAGCATTTAAACATGAATTATATAGTCGCAATACAGCATTGTTATTACTGTAGTATAGAATTTTGCAAATTAATATACTTAGCAGAAACATCTATTTTTTTAATTATACAAATATTATATTAAAATAATATAAATTTAATATTATAATAATATAATTTACAAATTTTATGAAAATCATATAATTATTAAATTATTATTATATTACTATAATAATATTTTAATAAATTAAATTATATAATTATAATACTAAAAATTAAATAAAATTAATATATTTTTATAATATATTTATAATATAGTTTTAATATATTAAATTATATTATAATAATATTAAAAATTATAATTAAATAAATGTAATTAAAATATTTTTATAATATATTTATAATAAAGATTTAATATATTAAATTATATTAAAAATTATAATCAAATAAAATATTTTTATACTATATTTTTAATATAATTTTAATATATTAAATTATATTATAATAGTATTTAAATTATAATTAAATAAATACAATAAAAATACTTTTATAATATATTTATAATATAATTTTAATATATTAAATTATATTATAGCAAATTAAAATATAAATACTATTAAAATATTTTTATAATTTATTTATAATATTATTTTAATATATTAAATATATTATAATCATTACATTAAAGAATACACTAAAATGAACCTGACAAATATAATTTCATTTGTGTGTATTCGCTTGTTCAAGAGTTATTGCAATCTAAATTTTATATGCTTTTACTACTTATGCTATCACTACACCACCACTAATTATAAAAAAATGAATTAATAATTTTTACTATAGAATAGATTAGTGGGTCTACCAAAATTCAGCAAATTGGCCTGAATTTGGGATTAGGGATGGGCCAGAGCAACGTGGCATTAAGCAATAATACCGGCTGACTATATTATAGCAAAATTATTATTTAGGCAGCTTTACTTAATGCATAGGCTGCCACTTTATTAGTAAAATTTTGGGTGATTTTAGAAAAAATTTGTTAATTCTGGCTTATTCCGACCCAAATTCAGGCCAATTTGCTGAATTTTAGTGGACCCTCTTATCTACTCTCACTATATAACTTGCACTATGTTTGTAATTAAATACAGTATTTATTAGACACCCCAGTCTGCACTGTGCAGATTAATATAATGAAAATTTAGCAAATTAGCTAAATTTAGGAGCAAAGCTAGGCTGGCATCATTACTACCCAACAATGCCAGGGTGTAGGATCGATTTTACTGTCACATGATTTTCCTACGTCCATCAGCCAATCAAAAATCAGGATCAGGTGTAATATAAAGAAAATCAAAACAAACGTTTGCTTTGCATAAATCGCATTTATCTCAAAATTTAGTGTAGTAAACCATCTTTGGAGTCCTAATAAAAAATTTTCCTTGTGTAATTTTGCTACACTATAGTCCTTCCTAACCTTAACTTAAACTCTAACTCAAATGTAAAATAAGTTTTTAACTTAACAACATTTGGTTTCTGCGAATCACATGATTGTAAAATCGATTCTGCACCCTGTTAAAATTATTACAACCCATTATATGTAAAATTTATTTCTGATATTTTTAATTAGTGCATCAAGGTCGATTCAAATGCTAGTTGTTAAGTATATTCACTTTTTCTTCTTTCGCACATATTCGAAATTCAAGTTGGGCTGGTCCAGAATGGACTCACTAATTGACTGTTTCCTTTTTAGAAGTTTATATTACCAGTACAAATAATTAAACCTGTACATTGGTTACCATTTTATTAATAAAATTTTGGATGATTTTGAAGAAAAGTTGTCAATTTCGGGTTATTTTGACTTTGTATTTTGGTCAATCTGCCAAATTTTGGCCATATAACATAAGAATACTTAAATACTCTTTGGCTTAATTTCAACTTTTCTTTTCGTTTTTTCTCCACACTGATTACATATTTGACTCGTGTTCTTGGCTTCAACTTCGACTACTCTCTTACCAGTTTTCTCCACTTTGTAAGTTAGTATAGTCAAAAATAGATTTCAACCAGCATCATTAATGCTTTTGGCTAAATACCTATTTTTCACCATAAATTTACCAACTCTTGTTATAGTCTAAACAATCTAAACACATTATTTGATCTATTCTCGCATTGATTCGAATGATGCTTTAAAAGGCGATAACAAACTTTGGATGCTTTCAAGCACAAAATTCGAATCTTTTCCTGGGCACTTGTCTCTGTCTGATTATTGTTAGTGGAGTGTCTTGTGAATCGCTTATACAGTAAGTGTTTAATAGTTAGTCCTATCCTGAGCAAAAACAATATAGTATGCACGTTAATCTTTTTTTTTTGCAGACAAAAAAGTATTTGGATAAATGAATAAGAAGATCCTAATTATGTGCTTGAAACATCCTTTGTATTACAACAGGCTTTAAAGATAATGCAATTTACATTCAAAAAAGCATTTTTTTAAATTAGTCTTATGTAAGAAATTTTAAATTATGTCAATAGCGCTTCACAAAAATAAAAAAAAATAAAAATAAAAAAAAAACCACATACTTTTTTTATTTTCAACTGATGAAATATTTCGCAGGTTCAAATATGATATGTTAATTTCGACTATTTCGATCTTCTTTTTCGTTTATCAAAGTAAAAATGCATAACTTACGTTTTTTTATTCACTTTATTTTACATCCAATTTACTATCCCATATTAATTATATCTTACATTACAATACATTACATTCATTAATAATTTTATCTATCAAAACCATCGCTAATTATTCATTTTTGTAATGCAACTTATGCATATAATGATAATCGTCTCTACGTAATTCATGCAAGTTTTCCTACGTAAAATTAATGTGATTTCCATATTTGTAATAATTAATCTACGCAATAATCATGAAAATATGTAATAGGGTATAGAAATTAAATAAAAGAAAGTTGATTAAAACTTAATTCTTTATAAATAAGAAACACATATCCGTACTGAACTAAATTTTATCTAAGCTCAATATGGTTAAAACGCGAGGATACAAGAAAAAAAATAATAGTAAGGGACATACATGCCTTGGTCGTTAGAGTCTTCTTATATCTTATTTATTATTTTTGTTTAGCTTCTAAAACCCCTTTGAGGCCCATTGAGCTAAATAAATCGGTTGAAAGTCTTAGACTTCAAGCTACCAATATGAACAGCAGAGAAAGTCAAAGAGAAATAAATCCGAAACGTATTAAAAAGAAAAGAAGAAAAGATGATGAGGCTAGTTCGACTAGTAGCGATACTGGTATATATTGTTGGTACAATTATAATATACATACGATACTAAATTGGTTATTTAATTTAGATATAAATCGAAATATGGATGATTCACAATCTTTTATGTCTAAAAATACTGTAAAACAAAAGCATCCAATTTTGAATACTTCATCTTTAATTAGAAATTATTCATCTGGTAGTCCTGAAGGCTTTTATGTCCAGCATTTGTTGGCGTCTAATGACATATCACTTTTTCAAAAAGAAGCCATTCACCTGAAAGTACTTATGATCGACATTCACCAACATATAATATCACCCCATCTCTCAGCCATACGTCTGAAAGTGCTAATGACCAATGATTATCAACATCAAATCCAACCAACTTTGTTTCACCTTTAATTAGAAGAAATTCGTTTGAAGAAGATTATGATCAACAGCCTACATCTCCTTTAATTGGACCATTTAAAAGTGATCTTGATGTTTGTCTATATTTAGTACAACATCCACAAATTGTTGAATTGGCATTAAGCATGATGAAAGCAGGTGGTCAGGAGTCTCTAATTAATCAGGGTAAGACTGATAAATTCGATGCACTTCCAGAAAGGGTAAATATGTTATACAATTATGTTAATGTTAATAGGCATTGTTACATAATGTTCCATGCGTTTGGTGCACCTCTTCTATATATTGGGGATACTAAGTAAAAAAATTATTTACTAAATTTTACTATAAACTATTTTACCCTAACCTTTAACCTTTACCTTATCCTAATATTAAAGAAATTGAATTTCACTATAATAAATCTTATGTTAATTAATTATTAAAGGCACCAAATGCATAGGGTACTGTTTAAAATCTTCTAATGTTAATAATTAAATTACTTATTGTCCTATTTATGTAGGAACTTAAAACATTCCAAATGCATTTGAAATGTATTTTTTTTCGCACAAGAGTTATCAACAAACAGATGATTGATATATTAGTAAAATATTTGTTTCCAAATATTCAAAGCACTAGAGCATCTGATTGCGCCGCCCTGCAAATATGGGCTTTTGCCTGTTATTGTGATTATAATACAGTATTGAGACGTGAACTTCGAAAGCTTGTTCCCGAATTTCTTAGGAAATATAGGTAAGTTGCAAATAATAGTTAGTTATTTGAAATGAAATTAATTAATTAATTAAAATATTAATTTAGACAGACCAAGACTAACCAACCAACTAAACCACAAATTGCCGAATACATCACTGAAGACAACTGGACAACCTTTTAAAATGTCATATGTATGTGACAGATATGCAAAAAACATTCAGAGAACAGCCCCACAATGTTTCCATTTTTACCGATTTTATATGAATGGCATTTAAATTCTTCATTCAAGAAAAACTTTTAGATAAAGATGTAATTGACGCTGTCAAAAATTTGAATTATATTACCGTTGACATAGAAATATTTTCTGCTGATGGAAAAGATTCCATGCAACAATTAGATATTAGGTCTCTTCTTAAGATAGACTAACATGCTAATTATTATATTGTAATTATTGTTATTGCTTAAATATTTTATTGAGAAAACACAGAATTGCAATTGAAATTTATCATTTGCCTTAAAATTCATATGTTGACTATTTTATAAGTTTCGTGCATTATGTAGATATGCAAAAGTGGCAATTGTTTAATTAAAATAGAATATAATATATTAAATGATCTACTAATTGCAGAATGATCGAACCTTATCTGGCTAATAATAGGGTTTAAATATGTGTTCTTTATATCTATATATTAGAGAAGCGTTTTACAAAAGTAACAATCTTAACTTTTCTTTATACATTCATATATATGTTCAAATTTAACTCAAATGAAGGATCGTGATCACGTGTAATTAAGTATCGTGATTTACAAAGTTAATAAAATTAGACTCGGGGTCAATTAATGATCAAACCCCACTCTAATATAAATATAAAGACAGACTCATTGAATTTCTCGCTCTTTCTTTTTCAAACTTTGCACTATATACTATTACCCCAAGATTATAAGTATAAAAGCAGATTTTCACAAATTTTTCCTTGTTATTTCTTCAACCTTTGTCTTAAACACTATCTCCTGAAGATTATAAATTGGGCGGTTTACTTCTAATTAACTTTATAGCTTGAAATAGGTAAAGTAAGTAGGTTTTTCTTAGAAAACTATAAGTATTTTTTTTTTTTAAAAAAAAAAAAATTACTACTAAGTATTTTAATGGTATTCTTATTATTACACTTAATGATTTAGTCAGTTTGCTAAAATGAAAAGAATATGAACTAAGAAAACTAAGAAAGCAACCCAAAAGGTTGTATTACGAAAACGTATCAATTCTAAAATTCAAGTTTTGAGTTCACAAGAGAGTTCATCCGATGTAAGTCAGTTTAATAATGACGATTTCGACTTTACAGCTTCGCATGACTTGAATAGCACTTCAAATATGTTGAGTAGAAGTGACCATCTTATTAATGACGATTTCGACTCTACGGCTTCGCATGCGTTGAATAGTGTTTCAGATATGTTGAGTAGCAGTAACCAACTTATTAGTGACGATTTTGAATGCAGTTTTTCTACAACTTCAGATGCATCGAGTAGCGCCTCGGACATAATGAGTACCAGTGACTGTACTAGTGACCAATCAACGGATATGGAAAAAATTGAATTACAAATGGAGGCAAGAACAGAATGTGTACAAACCCTAGTAGATGGCGGAATTAATTTTCAGCCGCTGTCTGGAGAATATGGCCCTTATTTTAAAAACTTTACGGAGATGGCGTGTTTTACTTGGGTTACTAAACATTTGATAAGTAAGTATATTGATGGAAAGTTTCATTCTTTTTAAATTTTAATTTATTTTATTTATTATTATTTTTTTTTTGAATAATTATCTTTAATAATCTATTTACTTAATTTCAGCAACTAAAGAATATGAGGAACTTGCATGTATCATAAAACATCCTAAATTCAGACCTAAACATGTAATTGGGAATGTTCGGCAGTTAAGGTCATTACAAAATCAACTCCCACTTCAGGTGGTAAAATGCTATAGAATTCCGATTCAAGATATGAATATACCCTCAACGTCAACACCTTTCAAAAATACTTACACTATATCAATAAGTGAGCATATAAAACGAGTTCTGGGCAATAAGGAATTAAGGTCACAGATGTACTTCAGACCTGGGGTCGAAGCTGAAACCAAATTGGAATTTTGGCACAGGTGTATATGGCATGAATCCCCTCTGTTCGGTTAATATTCAATAAGAATAAATCAAGATAACATTTATATGTAACTGTAAAATAACAAGCATATTAAAAATTTTTAAAATTTTATTAAATTTTTTAATTTTTATG